CCCACAATTGTTAGATTTTTTGATCCAGAAACAGGAATTAAATATAGAATATTAGATTTTGTTTCATTGCCGAGTGAAACTTCACAAATAATTTTTGATTCAGTAAGTACTATTTTAAAAAAGAATAATTTGAACATATGAAATGTTACAGATGAAAAAATTAAATGTTGGTTATCTGCAAATGTGGAAACAGACAAAAAATGGACCGAGTTATTCCTTCATTTTAAACAGAATAATATTCCTTATCAAAATATTTTGAAAATTGTAGAATTCGCGCTCTTCCTTCCAGGAACAAATGTAGCAACAGAACATGTTTTTTCTGGTATCAATAAAATATGGACAACTGAAACAACGCAGTTGAACATTAAAACTTTAAAAATCTATTTTAAGTGTAAAATATAATTTGACCAATTCATGTGAAATATTTCACGACATTTTAATAAATGATCCGAATCTATTGCTAAGTATTCACTCAGATCAAAAATATGACCGTGAAAGAAAATCATACTTTTTTTTAAATAAAAAATTTAATTTGAATAAAAATCATGATGTTCAAATTATTATTTTTTACAAATATTTTTATAGTTACCAATAATTAATAATAAGTGCATTTTTGTACAAGTATATGAATGTATACAATAAAATATATATATATATAACTAAATTGTAATTCTCATTTCATCCCATTTGTCCCGCTTTGTCTCAATGAAAATGTGGTCACTTTACCCCAGAAGCCTCGCCCAGGCACGAAACTCGGCACATAATTGTGTTTTGACATAATGAAGAAGTATTTTTTTTTCTTTTTCAAAACTTTGGATTAGTTTTTTAGTCATTTTGTAAGAAAATATATGCTTTTTCGTCTTCAAAGAGTCATATTCAAAAAACTATTAAAAATGCATATACTTTTCTCCACTCTTATACATGTATGCTAATGCGAACCTTACAATTGAAATACTAATTTTCGACAACTTAAGCCAATAATATACGTAGGAATTAATAATTTAATTGTAAGGTTCGCATCAGTTTACATTTATCAAAGTGGAGAAAAGTTTAACTTTTGTATTAAAAATGTAGCAACATATTCGATACGTAAATAGAACGCTTCGCTTTGATATATTTGTCGCTGTTCATAATTGTTATAATAAGTTTTTCTTCTTCTTTCCTCGCTCAATTTTTCTTCTTAAGCGAATACGATAATCTTTGTAGCGATATAGAAATAGAAATTGATACCACAAAAAATTATATAGAAATAGAAATTGATACCATAAAAAATGTTAGCTGCTCAGGAGTTGGTGAGGAAAAGAATTTACCTTTATTGGCACCAAATGGAAAAACTAAAAATAATGTTTATAAAGAAGTTTTACAAGAATAGGAAGAATTATATACTATCTGTATGCTGACTGACACAAGTTTTATTTTATTGCTGTTTCTTAAATTTGTTATTAACTGCGTTTTAATTTTCAGCTATTGGCCAATGATGATTTCGAAAGCAACTTTTGTAGGCTTTTACAATTTCTGAGGCCTTTTTTTTAAGAAAAGAGAAAACAAGTCTCCACCTGATAGTTATATTATAGGTTAGGTTACCATAGGCCTTAGGTTACCATAGCAAAGTTACATCTTCAAGCATTCTCAAGAGCTATAACACATCTGCAGCAGAACTGGATATGAAGACAAAATTGCAGGACAGGAACACTTTAATTGTCCACTAATCTTCAGATTTCCTGCTATGTTTTAAAAAACTTTATTTGTGAAAACCTTTAGCGTGGCGGACAGCTGGCCGCCTTAGGCGGCTAGTCCATAATAAAATCGTAATCGTATCTTCTTTCGTAAGTTTTACTTCATTGTACCATTACACTTTGTTGTACGACCATCATTAGAAGGATTTTATCATTTGTTAATAAATCTTGTTTAATAGTAAAAAATTAAATTTGTGGAAATTTGTTCGCTCCGTGCTCTTTCATAGGTTGGGTTAAAAACAATGAGGGAAAAAGGGGGTGAGATTTGTTTACGTAAGCGTAAAATTAAACGTAAATAGTCAAAATCTTGTAAAGATGAAGAGGTACACAAAATGAACTATACAAATCAAAAAATAATCTGGAATAAGGGAGTTATTTACGAAATAGGTGTACATATTTACAAAAATCATTAGATATTGATGCTAATCAACAAACATCTGGAGTCCCTGTATCACTCCTTCTGCCCCGAAGGTCTACTGCGGTGCGGAGTGAAGCAATTCATCTTGAAGGTGTTGATAATTTAAATGGAGTGGTTAAAGCAGGGTTTCTTAACCTGTGGTTCATGGACCCCTTAGGATTCCATGGGTCATATTTTGGGGGTCCACCGACTACTCCTAATTTTTAAAAAGTTTGGATCAATAATATTTAAATAACATTGATCTTTTTTTCTTTCTAAAAGGTGAAAATACATACATGCTTGAAACTAGGTGATCGAGATACCCCAAATTCAGTACGGACTGCACACAACCCTCTAGTATCCCTGTCATATTTTTAACATCCTCCATTAACCGGCTTTCAGTTTCCACCATCTGGGGCAACCCCCTGATAACGTCCGCTGTACTATTTTTATTATCCCCTATCAAGCTACGTACATTTGACACCTTGTTCAGGTTACTAGATCTATGATTTTTTACTAAGAAGAAAGCCCAGTTTTTGAAATCTAGAACATTAGACAAACTTGGATTTGGTGTTCAACAAAAATCTCCGGTTGAGGCATCTCTCAAAGTTGCATATCATATTGTTAAAAGCAAGAAACCGCATACTATTGGAGAGACGTTAATTAAGCCATTTGCACTGGAGATGGTTGAATGAGTTTGTAGATTGGAACAGAGAAAAAAAGCTTGAGGCAATTCCATTTTCAAATGATGTGACACATTCAAGAATAGTTGAAATTTCTTGCAATATCTTGAAAAGATCATCGATGAATTGAAAGTATCGCCATTTCCCTTTAGTATGCAACTGGATGAAACTACAGATATCTCGAATTATAGTCAACTTCTTGTTTTTGTTCGTTACGTGTCTCTTGATACTATCAAAGAAGAATTCTTATTTTGTGAGTCTCTTTTGCAAACTACAAAGGCAGTTGATGTTTTAGCAATGTTAAATGTTTTCTTTACCAAACAAGACTTTGGCTGGAAAGAAAAACTTTATTCACTTCGTACAGATGAGGCACCTGTTTTCTTAAATACGCAAATCCATTTTCTGAAAAACGAATTTTGAAATATGCTCACTTCCTTACTTCCTTTCATTTTGAACTGTGTACATATCCTTAAGAATGCATTTTTTGAGAGAATGTATTATAATTTTGTAAGAAAATATACACAGAGACAAACTTCTGCAGAGTGCGTTACCCTGAAACTGAAAAATAAAACAACTTTTTTCTTGATAATTCTTTAGTATTTAAAAAATGTATTCATGACTGTTCCTTGAATGAAAATAAAATTACACTTCCTGAAAAGAGGATAAAAATTAAATTATTTTACTGCAAATATTTTCCCATTATTCAAAACAGCTTCTAGGTATGTAACTGCAAACTGTATAATTTACAACGTATTTGAAATTTTCAACACATAATGTGGCTCCGTTCGAGAAATATGTTTCAGGCAACCCTTATTCTCACGCACTGCTTTTGTTCACTTCTTCAAAACATTTGGTTTATCTTGCTTTTTTCAATTAAACTACCGCACTGCTTTCGATTTCTCTTTGAAAATGGAAAAAAAATGAAATATAAAAATATATCCTTTGATTGAAGTGAATAAGTTTAAGTATGATACATTAATGGTGAATAATCCAGCCAATATCTAAAGGTTAATATCGGTATATAGTTTTTTTTTTCTTTTCGAAATAGGTAGGTACGTTATTTATGTCGCCCTGGTGCTGCACAATGGGCTATTGGCGACAGTCTGGGAAACATCCCTGAGGATGATCCGGAGATATGCCATCCTAATTTTGATCCTCTGCATAGGGGATCTCATTTTTGAGGCCGCTTCTTCAATTCAGACATAGATCTGAAGAGGAAGGATATTCTTTCCAGATCCCTATACCCGTGATACCGCACAGCGACGGCAACAAGACTTTCGATGCCACAGATTGTAAGAGTACGTATATCGCATGTACCCAGTGGGTCACTTTTTTTCGTGAATCTGTTTACAGTAGAACCTCGATCCCTCGATCCCGTATTGTCTTGCTTGACTCTAACGATTGCCAACCACTTCTAACAGCAATTCCAATTTCAGAATTTATACCACGTCAACATGAACTAAATAAAACAATCTAATTACACTGTAAATATTTTTATACTTTTTTTCCATGTTCGTTAGGCTCTAGAAAAAATTAGAAGGAGGTAACAAGTGTCGTAATTTTTAATCACACTTTAATTCTAGCAATTAAAGTGTGAATTTAGCTGTCGGAAAGTACTTTACCAATAAATTCATGACCAACTTATGATTGAGGTAATGTGAAAAGTACTAAATCATAGATGTTCAATGATTAAATACATCATAGGCACTAAGACGATAATATTTATTCACAACGGCAACTTTGAAATTTATCTCGCTTAATTTCTTGGTCTTGGCATATTTTGCTTGATTTACAAATATTTTCTGGAAAATACTTAATCACCAAACTAGTTCAGTTCAAACAAATTTTTCCACGACTTTTTCATTTTTGTTCAGTTGGCAGCACTTTTGTTGCCAATTATTTTACATTGAGTCACATTTATTTTCAAACAGAGCTGCCAACTTTCTACGGTTTTTGCACAAATTTAAATTCTCTACCAATCGGCTAATTGGCAAAACTATGTCACACTTTCTCAATTAGTTACAAGATAAAATAGTGGATTGTTAAGCACCAAATTAAAAAACAAGATTTTGATGGGAAGATGGAAACTTTTTTTTATCATAAGACTATTTTTATTCATTGTTTCTAAAATTAGTAGGTATAATGTTATCAATGAAAATACTTTTTTTTATTTTATTCTTTATTTCCGAAATGCCCTTTTTTTTACTCATAATTCTATTTAGAGCTTTCATACTATTTTATATTATATGTCATACTGTTTTTTATATTGCTTAGAACTTTCATACACCTTAAAAGAACAAGTGACTTTACAGTTCTCAAAGCTCTTGTAAAAATGCAAAACGTAAAGTAAATACACTCTAAATGTATCACATATTTTCTTTTTTATAATACCACTTAAATGCTTAGAAGACTGGTTGGGCAAAGTTCGTATACAGATTTATTTTTTGAAATAAAATAATGCTTGGTGGTTGTCGTAAATATATTAAATGATCGAGGTTTTTCTGAAATTTATTACCACTGTTAGATGTTAAACACCATCCTCATAAAGCTTTATGTGATGGTTAGTCGGAAACTCATGATTTATTTGGATATTTATCAAAAATGCATAATTTTTTGTAAGACAATTAATTTATTTACCATTTTTTTTCTACAGTATGTTTGTTAATTTCAGTAACTTCTATTAATTTTTTTTAATTTCTTTAAGATACAGTTTAAAAGTTTTTTACCAAACCTTAATGACAAAAAATTCAAACATATTAATTTTTATTACAGTTCTTAAAACTACCCTCCAGCATCATCACAAACTTAATAGTTAACAAACTTAATAGTTCAAATAGTTAACATCTCAAGTTCTATAGCAATTCTTTTAAGTAAACTTCCAAAATTTAAAGTACATTTTAAACATTTCTCTAAAATACATTTTCGAATGTTTTTTTACTCTTACTATTGATAAATTTTTTGTTATTTTGAAGTGATTGTAAAATGGCAACTTACATTTAATGCTGATGCATCAAATTGATTTATAAGAAAAAAAAACGATTTTATTCAAAACCTCCATTTTTTTAAATTTTGATTGATTTAATTAAAAACTTTACCCTTTATGAATCATGCATTTTCTTTCTACAAAAACTATAAGTATAATGTTTATAAACCGCAAAAGTAAAATATTAAATAGAAATAAAATATATAATATTAAACTATTTAAAAGGGTTATTATGCAGCTACTTCACTTTTACTACATTTTTTTCTACCATAATCCTATTTTTTAATTTGCTGCCTTAAAATCTAGTCATTTAACTAGTTATAACTTATAAAAGTTTATCAAAGTTTTGCTATTCTGCCAGAATTATCAGTGAAATTTTTCAGTGATAAATAGCAGAAATATTCCATTGGTCTACGGGAGCTTCACATCTGTAGCAGCCCCCATTTCTTTTTTTCATTTATTTTGGAATTAAATCATAATTAAAAATTACATATTTTACCAAAAATTTTCCACAATATCTTTTCTTTCATGGTATGAAATTTAAACCTAAGATTGCATTTAGCTTTTCGTTCTGCAGAATTTGAATAAATGAACGAGGGGGAAAAAACGAATTTTAAAAAAAAGTTACTTACCTTCTAAATTCAATTGGTTATTGATTCTATCAGTATTTTGTGGATCAACAGCCACATCTTTTCTAATTTCAAGTGCTCTACCATCTTCTTGTAATGATTTAATTTTCAGCGATTTTGTATTTCGAGCCAACATGAGGAAGCAAAATACTGTGCTTAAATTTAAAGTTCGCTTATTCATGTTCACTTCTTCTTTTCCTTTCATATTCTTTACGTTTTGCATCAGACGAGAATATAGCAAGGTATAATTTTACTTCAGTTTACGTTTTTACGGTGCTTAAATATCGTCTGTTTATTCCAGAATGATTTCCTCATTATTCTTTTTAACGATATTCACAAATCGGGAAAAATGATACAAATTTGAATTTCTGTTCAAATTTATATTCCAACGGTGCAATCTTCAATATCGTTGATCGTTAATTTCTTATCTCGTTTGAAACGGTTCTTCAAACAATGATAACTAAACGTTAATTGATTAGTAAAAGGATTTTAATTCGTGCTAATCATCTGACAAATTTTAAACTTATCTATTTATAGTTCTAAAGTATTGACGATAAAACAAAATGACGATAAAACAAAGAAAAATTATAGACATATGAAAAAAGAGGGGGGGGGGAATAATAATTAAATAAATGAAACTTATTGTTTTTCTTAACTTTCATCATGCTTTCTTGTATTTATCTATCTATTATATATATATATATATATATATATATATTGACTTTACTGAGATTTTGTTTGCTTTGGATAACTTTCATCAGCTGCTTTCCCCTCACCTGAAGATTTTTTTTTATTCAAGAATGTAGCAGTAGTTTCATCCATTGTCACATACCAACGATAGACATCCTTTTTAACTTGTTTTAAAAGTTTCAAACAACACGTTCGTTTTGGTTGAGTGTGAGTAAATGCTGCACCCATTTCGAAAGTAACTTGCATATGCTCATATTTTTATGTAAAATTATAAACACATCACCTTCTGATATCCTTAAGGTGTCACACAACTTCACTTTACAGTCTTCCAAAACTATCTTAGTAACTTTTTTTATACTTTCTGGAACACTGGTTGATTTTAAAATGACTTGAGTGTTTAGCATCATCAATGTCTTTATGACTGTGTTCAAATCCAGCAAGCCATCGTGTTTTGCTTCAACAGTATTTTTCCCCATCCAAAAACAATTCTTAATCAAAATACGAAATTCTTTTTTTATCTATTGGTTTAAAAATTACAAAAATAGGGTCACTTAAACCACTTGCAGCTTCTAAACTAAACTAATTATCAGAATGACATGAAATTTTGACAATTAAGGCTTGAAAGTTGCTAATATCCAGAAATCATATGGTTTTGTTAGCAGTGGTGTCATTTATGTGTCAGACCCGAGACTTATTGAGTGATGTGTAATAATTGAATAAAATGCTGCAATAAATGATAAAAAAACCTTTGAATAATATATATTATTGACGCATCAAGCAATTTAATTGGTGGAATTTATATTTAAAAATAACTTCAATAAATAAAAATTAGAAATCAGAATAAGATTCAATATTATTTAAAGATTACAAAAGTGAATTCAATAACATATGAAATATCTACTTTATTGAAGTGTAAATCTCCTCCAATAAATTCTCGTCAAAGTCATTTCCTCCATTAACTCCCTTTAAGTTCTTTTTAAAATCCTACAAATGAAAAAAAAAATATACATAGATTTATGAAGACTGGGAAAAATACTTATTAAAAAAATCCTACGAACATTAAATCCAAATAGTTTCCTTAGCAAGTATAAGCACTTAACCAATCATCTAGATTATTTAATAACTACCATTTAAATTAAAACAGTGTTTTGGCTTTAAAAACACAAAAATATTTCCTGAATGGTTATTCTGTTCATAGTTAGGTAATAATTAGCAAAATAACCTGGTGTTTCTTTGCACAGAAAACCATTTTATCACCATCTTATTCATCAAAAAAATGTCACTTAAAGCTTTTTACAAATTTGCACAAGTAGATCTGGGGTAGCCCTTAGCTAAAAGAGCACAAGTAGCTTTTTTAGGGTCTTACTTAACTTTCACTAAGAAAACTCATATCAAGTTATATAACAGTCTATAGGACATTTCAGACACTAGAATATAAAACACATTTCATACAAAGTTACGACACAAATTTGAAACTAAAATTTTTCTTTAAAAAATATACACCATGTTTGGTAATAAATAGCAGAAGTTTTGGGNAAGAGCAATGGCTCTCACTTCCTATTGAACTGATAGACCGCATAATTGAAAGCATCACACATCGCTGTTTGTGCTGTATTGCTTCTAGAGGCAATCATATTCCATATTAAAGGTACTTTTTCTATTGCAAACCGATACTTCCAATTTGTTTATTTTATACATGTGCTAATTTCTATACTACTATTAATGTCTGATAATTTCTTTTTATGTTGTTTAATACCTTACTATGTGTTGTATATTGTGGGTAAGTTTCATAAAATTCCATGTGTAATTTCTTGAGTTATCGCGATTTTTGTGAATTTTCCTTAATTTATGATAACCAGTGTATATATATATTTGATATTGATTAATTTGTTTAAACAAAATAATGTTATAAGAATATAAATGTTATTTTAAAAAATGATTACTTCGAAAAATGACTTCTGTTCACCAAGAGATCTAAAAGTTTTTAATACTAATAGATAATAATATTTGGACGTGGGAAGTAGAGGCACAAAAGTAAGTGAACAGAATACCTTTTAGTACATATATGTTAAGCGAATAAATTTAACTTTAGTGGAAAAAATGCTTTCTGCCAAGAGAAGACAATTATTGCGAAGCAATAATCGGGATTGGTGAGCGGCAGCGAACAGAGGGCTTAGCCCCCTAGTTAAATATAAATTACAAAGACTAATATGATGTATACCTTTTATACGTTATTGCAGACAAGGCGACTCCAACAAGAACAATGAAAAAAGTAGCTCCCAGAAAGCAAATAAAAATAAACACTAGCATCTGGTCTGTAAAAGGACATAAAAGAGAAACATTTAGATATTTTTTTTTAATTTCCTAAGTCACATTAAAAAAAAGACAATTGAATATCAAAAACATAACAGTAATAACAGTAAATCTATAAATGAGATCAAAGAGGAGAGCATCTAAACAAGTGAGACATGTCCATCTCTATTCGCTTCGTAGAGATTACATAAGGTACAAAAGGGATCATGAACTACGTTGATGTGACATAGATGTTTATTCAGAATATCTTGTCCATATATCAGACGAAACATGGTGACATATTTCATCTATGGTCACTGAAGGACATTAAGAATCCTATGGTTTATTTAAATTGCGATTTTTTAGTTCTTCGCTGAAGGAATCCCTGAAGATATTTTTATTCGACTATTGACATTATTGAAAGGAAGTCGGGAAGTTGATGTCTGAAGGACAGAGGCCCCTTTTTTACCAGGAAATAACATTTTCTTGATTTTCACAGTGGGCCAGAATCCATTGGAGAGCCACTGTCTTATTATTACTGGCAAACCAGTTGAGAAGATTTAAGCAATTATCGACGATAAAAATTCTAGATTAGCTGAGTAAATTGAGGAGTAGACATTGAAAATAAATTGATCGGCCAAAATAAAATTGTGCAGCAAAAGAAATACTTTATCAACGTCGTTCTAGAGTTGCTCAATGGGATATTGGCCTCGGTGTTTGGGATACGTCTTTCCGAATGATCCAGGAACAGGTCATCATAATTTTGACTCTTACGCATTGGTAAACCTTTAACCTTTTGGTAACGCTTTGGTCTTGCACGCTTTGGTCTCGCACGCTTAGCTAAAACTTTAAAACGCACTTCAATTCAGCATTACATAGGCTCATAATAATTTGCAAAAATTGATAATACGGCAGTAATTTTGATAATTTTCATCAAGGGGGAAAAGTATCACCAAATTTTCGACTTCTAACAAGAAAGTTTAATAACTTTTAAAAAAATTTAAGTTGTCTGTCTGTTTTCTAAAGTCCAGGTAATTCTTCGCAGCAAGATAATATAAATATAGTTTAAGATCATCGCATTACGTAAAGCACTTAAACTATGACTTTTTATATTTTCCTCGGCTAAAGAGCTTCGAATAACAGCGTTAAGAAGATATCAACATTTATTTTTATATATATATTATATACAAACATTTTTATCCAGTATCCTGCTGCACTACCATTGTTCTGTACATATTATAACTGAGATAACTTAGCGTTCTCTTGAAACTATAGAAAGATTAATTGTAGGATTTCTGTATCGATCTTTAGAAACTCAATGCTGTACTTTTTAAATTTAATTTTCCAAGAACATAAATTCTTCGTAGGGAATTTCTGAGAGGAATGTCTTTTTTTAAATAATTAAAAAGGTAAATAAGTGGGTAGCCGAATGCTTATTTTAGAAATTTCGCTACCAGTTTTATAATTTAATCAGGTAGCTGGTCAGCTTACTATTACCTAATACAAAATACGGTCACAAACAAATAAATTCATACCAAACACGTCTCTAGAAAATTTTAAAAACATGGTAGAATATCCATATAAAAACTCTTAAGTATATATGTTAGGAAGGCTGTTATAGATGTAAAATGATATTTAGGTTTCATAGAAAAACAGTTTATATAAATTATATAAGTTTATCAAAATGGTGACACTATGCCCAATGACAGAATGTAATAAAATCCGTAGTAGGAAAAAATTGAGCTATATGTTACCATTGAATATTTTGAATATTAATGAATTTAGTGTATCTATTTAACAACTTTCAACTCCTGGTTTAACAAATTTAGAATCCGATCAATTAGACATTTATTTATTGTATTATTTAATTTATCATTATTTTTTTTCTTAAACTTTGGTATTTGCACGCAGATTTTCAACTAAGTCTTATTTCCATGTCTAAGTCCATGAAGAGCCCCACATAGAAGCAGGTGGTCCCTGCCCAATTTCTCTCCAGATTTACAAAGTGGACAAAAAGGCGTGGTGGAAAGGCCTATGCGATATAAGTGAGCAGAAAGACAATCGTGGTCTGTATATATATAGGGAAAGCCGCAACTGCATCACGTCTTGGTGTGTCGGGAATTAAAGAAGAGCTCACATTTCTCCAACTTTTCAAAGCTGTGCGAGTCTGAAGGTCTTGTAATGAGTTGGTTTTACATATATCTTTAAGGAACAGTTTGATTTTGAAAAGGAAGTGGCCGTATTTAGTTGTTGTAGCAAATTGGCACCTTTCTTGGCAAGTAAATCTGCCTGCTCATTGCCCCAAATACCACAATGGGCTGGCACCCACTGGAGGATTATTCGTTTTCCCCTCAAAAATAAAGACCTCAAGAGGTCTTGACATTGGAAAATCTCAGGTGTCAAGGGACGGTCATGTGAGCTAATTGATTGTATGGCCGCTTGTGAGTCCGAGAAGAGAACTGCAGTTTCAAATTTGTGTTGGAGGGCCAGTTGCTGCTGTAAGGTTGTAATCTGGGAAATGTAGTCCCAATAATTTGGTCAAGAGAGTGATCCAAAGTTTCGACCCCTTATTGTTAATTTTACTTTTCGTGTAATTCATCATATGTCGGAAATTCTTTAAACAAATTTTAAAAAAAGTTGCAAACAATTATAAAATTTATTTACTGAAAGATAATTCCACAAAAAATATAAATTTCAGAAATATTTCCTTATTTTTAATTATTTTATTTAATAATAGTCAAAAAGATTTTGAATTATAAGGTATACAATTTTTTTCATCATTTTAAACAATGTAATTTTACATGACAAAATACAAAATTTGAGCAAAAACAGTCAAACAGAATTCTTCAGAAACAGAATTTTTTTTTTAAATGTATTTTTAAAATTCAATTTCTCAGGAGCTATTCAACCGAATTTTCTCAAATTATGTATTTTGTTATATAAAATAGCATTTTTTAAATAAATGCAAAAAAAATTTATACTAAATGTTTTTGATTATTATTAAAAAATTATAATACTTAATAAAAGCACGTATATTGTAATTATCTGTTCGATGTAATTAAATTGCTTACGTTTGGTTGCTGGTTCAATAATCAAAGCCATTGTCGTGGGTTTTTCCTTTTTGTCATCCTTGGTGATGTTCGATGTTCCAATGTTTTCGATGTCACTCGTACTAATTGCTGAAGTAGTACTTAGAGTTGAAATCTTGTTACTGGTAACTTGCTTTGAAGTGCTTGTTAATTGGAATGTGGATATCGATGGACTTGCACTGTCTTCTGAATTGTATAATACATGATATGTTTTATTAAATTTTAATAAAAATGCAAATTTTCTTTAATTTAACACGTGTCCGCATGATTTTTGTAGGACTATTGTATTTTGAAACACAGATTATATTTCCCATTGTTTATGACTGCTGCAAGTAAGTGAGCTTCAATTGTATATTTGGAAAGAAAAATTATCACATTTTTACCAAGAAACCTGTTGACGCCTGTAGCCGTCATTTGGGCAAACACGAAATGTTTTCCTCTCCCCAAATACAAAGAGCAAAAAAGACAAAAGAACAATTGAAATGTTATCTGGAATATTACATCTCTGCTTTTTATGTAATACACAATTTACCCTTTAAGCAAATGAAGCGATCCAAGAAAACTGTAGCAATCATGCTTATACTCTAAAATTTTAACCCAAAGTATTCAAATGGTAGCAAACTACCCAGCAAAGAAATATGTGGTTTTTCTAATTTTGCAGTTTTTGAACTGTTTTTGAAAGAACATTTAGGCATCAGATATCTACCTATGAAATTAGATTATAAATGTTAGCGGCGAACAGGAAAAATTTAATTATAAATTTTTAAAAACAAATTATATATTTGAAGTACCCGTTTTGCCATTACATTTAAAAATTTAGTATCTTTAGGAGGCATTTTATTCACACTAAAGCGGTTAGCTTTATTTTTATTAAGATTTATCAAAATAAAACGTTGTTGATTTTAAACCACATTGTTTTACTGGTACACAAAACGAGTCGAGGTCGCCAAATCTCCAAGTATGATTTGGGTGAAACATTGTACAAGATACAATGCCACCCTGCAGGCGACAAGACCAGTTCTATGGATCCAGTCCTCGGTACCAAGAGAGGGCGAAAACCAGTTTTGTTTTTCCGAAGACCAAGTTTCTTAGCCAATTTTTTCCCTTTCGACCAAGTAACCCGAAACCCACAGTTGCAGCTCTCAATTAAACTCCTTATTAAAACCACTTAATCTATAAATAGGTATCACAATTTCATTTCAATTTTTATAACCTTATCAGTCCAGCATTCATCTAATCAATCAGTTCGCTAGTTTAATATCCAATAATATTGTGACCATTAGTATAATCTAAAAATGTCAAATATTTACAATTAATTCATAAATATTAACAATAACTGTAAAACTAAAAATGTAATACTCATGATTTGTGAAATGGATGTCATAAAATAAAGAACATTAAATTCCAATTCCCATGATCAATGTAACTACAAAATTATGTACTATTTAAACATTGTAACCACGAACCAAAGTAACTAAAATGTACCTAAGTAACAAAAGAATGTAATCATTGTAAAAACTCAAGTAATGCAATCTAATGTACTGTAATAATGTCATGATGCACTGTAACCTACCATTAACCAATGTAACTAATTTAATAACTTATAACCATGATATGATTATAGCCTTTGCAAGAAACTTTGAATATGTAATTATTGAAATCAATTGACAATCAAATCATGTAATCAAATATAATAAACCTAATGTAATAAATCATATTACAGTCCTAAGTTTATGTCAAATGCGTAGAACTAATTGATTTAAGTTTCTTCATGTCCACACAAACTTTTCCTTAATCATCAATGTTTTATTCAGGTGATGCAAATCTCCATTTAATATGCTTAAGTATTATATTCTCCATTTGGTTTACAAATTTTTTCAATTGTAGATTAATCTTTAATAATTTATTTAACTCCTTCAATTATCATTCTTAACCTAATCATTAAATTTGCTTAATTATTAACTTCTCCACTTATTTATTATTTTTAATTAATTATAGAATAAACATTAGTTAATTTTTTCAATTCTTTCAATTAAAATTCTTAATTTAATTATTATCTGTTTTTAATTAATCTGCATGCCATGATCTAACCCTTTCCCTTGCAGCAAGCTCATACAAACGAGCTTAGTGGGTCTGTAGGATTGGGCACTTGGTGCGCATTACCGCATACCCGTCTTGTGAGTGACGGCTGTGTGGTATCCATGTCCGAGAAGCCTGGGCCTTTCGGACCTCCGGATTGATGGGGATGATGCGGTGATCAAACCAAATTTTTTAAGAGAAAAAAATTTAAAATTCTAGTGGTTTATATTAATGTGAAAAAAGTAAGTGGGGCTGTTTTTTCAAGCGCCCTTTGAAATGATTTGTTCAAAACTGTCAAAATCTCTTGTGTATTTAGAAAAAAAAATTCAAAATTAATGATTTAACGTTTTAAAATTATTTCATTGATACAAAGACATTAGCGTTCCGAAAATATATTAATCATAATATAAATCAAAATATATTATTCAAAATATTAAGCAAAATATATTAATCATGTAAGTAGTTATACTGAGCAGTTAGAAGCTCATTATACAGTGAAACCTCACGGGAGCGACCACTCTCTGCTCCACAGTAAAATGGTCGTTAATGGAGGTTGGTTGCTGTTAAAGGTTACCTCCATTCAGTTCAAAATGTTATCGAAGGAACACGATTTTTCAAAAACTATTTTAATTTCAATCCGTGTCATTTTCTTGGGTGGGAAATGCTAATTTTGAATCTTAGAACTATTCAAAATAAGTAAACTTTTTGGGGGAAAGAGAGGGGTTTTAATGGTGTTCTCCTAAAGGTCTAAATGTTGTCTTCAACGCAAAGTCTATGGAAAATATTCTGTGCCACCTAAAAATAGTCGTAAATACTGAATACATTAAGTAGCGATGATGAATGATCGATACAGAAGGGTGGTCTTTCTTGAAATTTTCACTGTAACTGAAACTATGTCCCAGCAACATTTTTCAATGCGCTTAAGCAAGAAATATAAATTATAATGCGACAGCCAGTCAACGTCTCATTGCATACCTTTTTTTTTCAAATATTTGCTTTTTACTGCACAACTAGCTGTTGCAAAAACGCAACCTCAACATACAAAGAGTTTAATAGAATTTGAGCAGCGTCCACAAAACTTTAAAATTGAAGAAACTCAAGAAATAATTAAGCAAAATAGATGTGTTATTACATGAATAACTTACTGCTAGTAGTTAGTCTTCCAAGAGAAGTTCCTTCAGTCGTGAAAGAAGGATTTGTATTTTGATCTTCTCTGGTGAACATAGTCTTTCTAGTTTTCTCTTCGTCAATCGAACCAATAGTTGAAGTACTTTCTGTCGTAGACAAAGTACTGATAAAGAGATCCAGAGTACTTTCTGTCGTAGACAAAGTATTGGTAAAGAGATCCGGAGTACTTTCTGTTGTAGACAAAGTACTGGTAAAGAGATCCGGAGTATTTTCTGTCGTAGATAAAGTACTGGTAAAGGGATCTGGAGTACTTGTTGTAGTAAATTCAGAAGTAGTAGTAGTTGATGGACTTGTAATAGGCTTCATATCTAAATGAGATTAAACAAACCATTAGAGAATTTTTTCATGTTAATAAAAGGGCATTTGCTTATTTCTTCTTCCAGCTTGAAATCAGCTTTTTTTTTTAAAAAAAAAAGAAAAAAAAACTGAGAGTTTTCATGATAAAGACTCGATTAAAGGAACTCCATTACCTTTAAAAATATTCAAATTAAAACAAAAGTAGACATGTTTAATAAATAGTGGTCCACTCTAAAGACTTGTTATAAATGAATCAAAGTATCGATATCCATTTTTTAAAAATTTCAATCAGCTCTCAGTTAGTAGCAATAAGTCGTTAAATTCTAAATATTAATGTTATCTTTTCGAAACGAAAACCAGAAAGAATGAAAAACATTTTCAGAATGCATAAATTGCACATGCATAAGTTGAATATCAAGCACAATGCCCTCAAAATAGCACTTATCAGATAATAAAGTCATATCAAAATCCCTTCTAACTGTGGTTTCAATTAAGATAAAACTATCATAATTTTTTTGAAAAATAACCCATAAGACGTTCAGAGTGTGGATTATTGGGAAACATTTTTAAAAAATATTTCATGAGGGTAATAGAAATTTTACTGCTTTTAATTTCACTTTTATTTTAGGGATTAAGTTGCACGGTTTATTTTCTAGAAAAACTTACCTAATCCTAGATAAATCTAATTAAATTTACTTTTTTATTTTATTCAATTTTTTTTCATTTTTTCCCATTTATTTAAAAGAAAGAACTATTCAAATGGAATTTATAGCAATTTAAAAAAAATAACATTTGATTCATAAAAATTTACCTTTCTAATTGCGTTTACGTTTATAAAGAGCTAAGTGACAGAAAGTTATAAGTGACATTTTTGTAAATTGGTGCTTCAAAATCAAAACGTTGCTCTTTTAAGTAAGGGACAAAATAAAGATTAGCTTATTTTTGTAAATTGGTGCTTCAAAATCAAAACGCTGCTCTTTTAAGTAAGGGACAAAATAAAGATTAGCGTATTTTTGTAAATTGGTGCTTCAAAATCAAAACAATGCTCTTTTAAGTAAGGGACAAAATAAAGATTAGCGTTCCTTTATTCCAATTGTAATAAAGTGAATAATTGACGCAAGTTTCCAATTTAAAAAATATATATATATATTAATCCTTTAACAATTAGTTGAGTTTTTGTGACTTCAAGATCCCACTATCAGTGTTCTATTATGCTACAAAAGAACAGGTTTTTGATAACAGTTATTGGATGTTTGTTGACAAATGGGCTTGTAACATTCTTCTACTCCAAAACACTCAAAGATTGTCACTTAGGGCCATAAACTGTTGAGAAAAATAAATCCCTGCTGTTTAGTTAAATAAAATTAAAATAAAACCTTTACTCGTTGAAATCTCAATTTTTTTTCGAAAATGACTCTAAGAATCTTCTAACACTGGGTTTTATCAATGATTCCTTAAAAAAACTAACAGCTGTTCGAGAAAATAGCCATGCTGCTATAGCAGGGATAAGTGACAGTAACTCTATAAAAGGAAATAGCATCTCTTTCCGTTTTATATGTATGAGACATTTTAAATAAAAACCGTTATCCAGACTAAAATTTCAGTTTTATTAGAATATAAAAAATTTACTTTTTTACCTGAACATCTCCCATCCACGATCCTAACATCATCCACGACAACAATGGATCGAGTATAGTAAGAAAAAGTAGCAAACTCTACCTGCAAAAAATAATATATATCAATATATCTATAATTAGAGATTAATGATCCACGCAATTAATAATTCATGTTATCTATATGACAACCATATATTATTAATTTCCATGATAGTTATTTAACATAATTGGTAATGCTTATGTTTATTCAGTGGGAGTTAATATTCCCATTTTGATCCATTTTTCAAAAATATAAACACTAGTGATTCTATTCCTTGTTAGATTATTAATCTTTCCTCGGATTATTGAAATTCTTTTTAATATGGTTGGTGACGATTGTGTTAACTCAGTAGGTTCTGGTGTTCCTGATTCGAGATCTTGTCCTTTTTTTCAACAAAAAAAAAAGAGTAGTAATTTCATTCGTTAGCTTTTTCGATTATTTATCTCGGATCTTGTTATCTAAAAAGAATATCACCTTAGAAATTATCAACAGTTTAAGCAATAATTCATTATTTTATTTTATCAGAAAGTACTTTTTAGCAAACCTTTTATCGAAAAGTACCTTTTATCAAAAAGTACCTTTTAGCTACAAATTTTGGCGTAAACACTATTAACCTTTTTGAAGGCCGTGGTAAGTATACTTACCACCACGTTTTACCACTTTCAATTTAGGTTTCCATTCTTCAATAATTTCAGCTTTCTTGAATAAAATTGGTAACCATTTGTCACTTTTAAAAAACGTATAAAAACTATAAAATACATAATTCCTTTTGAAGTTTGTAGCATTTAAGGAATTTATTTTATAAATAAAGAAAAATGAAAGTCAGCAAGTTCCTAATAGGTCATGTAAAATATATTTACCACCAAAAAAATGGCATTTTTATAAACTAAATGAGTTTTTTTCTTCTTATATCAATTACTGTTCTTAAAACAATTTCAATTTCAAAAATGCTTTAATTTACCTTTACCAGAAATAAAGGGCCCATTAAAGGGTTGAAGAAAAGTCGAATTATTTTTTTTCACTCTTTAATTCGCAAAAAAAAAGAAAACAACGCGGCCTTTTTTGTATCTTTTGAAATTTGTTCTATGTTTGAATATATACGAGTATATATATATATATATATATANTTAAATAACTTCAGCTTTCTTGAATAAAATTGGTAACCATTTGTCACTTTTAAAAAACGTATAAAAGTTATAAAAATACATAATTCCTTTTGAAGTTTGTAGCATTTAAGGAATTTATTTTATAAATAAAGAAGAATAAAAGTCAGTAAGTTCCTAATAGGTGAGCACAACTTAAGTTTGTATTTTTTTTTTCAGATAAAGAACAATTTTTGTCTGAATTTTTAGTTTAAAATATCGCTCTCGTAACTTATAATAAGCTTATTCAAAATTAGGCTCTCGAAACAGAAAAAATAAAATCCGATATTTAAATCGAAATTATTTAGGAAATTAGCTCTTTTTTTCCGCGTCGTACATTTGGCCAAATTGACAATATTTATCTCTTGAATACGGGATATGTATAAGTATAAATTTACAATAACTGGCGAAGCTCTGAACAATATATATTTACAGAAAAACATTTTTTATGTTACCTATTTAAAATTAATAGTATTTGGTATTTACTTGATAATCTTCAGATACGCTCATATCTACTTTAATTTCCAGCCATCGATCAGCTTCAAGTTTGAAATCTTTATAATCTGTAAAAATTGAAAACAGTTATTCTATTATTAGTAATAAAATCAGTTTCAATGGTATTTTTAAAATTATTTCATTTTTCATTGATTATTAAATTTATTTCATCAGAAATTTTTTAATTTATTTAAACCTGAAATAATGAAATGAAATAATGACCTGAATGAAAACCTGAAAATTGTTTTAAAGTGATAGCTTAAATGTGAAAAAAATATATAGATATTTTAATGCATTTATGTGTGCTAAAAATTGACTCTAATTTTTCCAGGTCGTGAGTAAGCTGAATTTGGCGAGGTATCCTAATGGTAGGGCAGCCAACTGTTTTTACTTTTTGTAAAAATTTATTCAAGTGATGCCTAGGTTTGTGTTTTAATATATCATTTCTTATTCATTTGAACTTATTTTTCCCCACTACATATAAATGATTTTAAAGTTCATATGCAAAGTCACTTTGTTATAGCTCTTTCGTTATAATGCTTTTAAAATGCTGGCAAAGTTACCAAACTTCTGAATGCTTTGGTTTTTGAACGTCTACCACTCTATAAAATATTTAGCAAAAGGCGTTGTAGTTGGCAGATCTGTAATGGTTAATTTAGGTCTAACGAGGTGGAAAAAAAGATACATAATACTGAGAAACATTTTTTTTTCGCTGCATGAGAATTTTTTAAACAAAACTTAGATACTTTTGCATCAAATCTGCAATCAGTTTCTCTTATTTACAAGCTAAATTTTTATGTAATTCAACAGTATCATCCACACCTGGAATATTGTTTTTATTGTTTACCCAAGGGTGTCACTATTTCACTAATACGGTGGGCGTAGTAACTTGATACATATCAGTTTATGATTCTTGTTTTAAGTATTACTTTCAAAGGAGCAAACAAGTGCATAGATACAGGAGTTGGATAAAAAATATTGAGTCACTTTCGATACTAATCTATGAAAACAATCTTTCTTTTAGCAGTTAATGTTTTACAAGATTTAACACAGCAAAACTGTTTGTACAATTTGAAATATCATACTAAAAGCTTTCAGACAAGTCGTTTTTTACTAAGCGAAATTCTGATTGGCAAATTTTGATAAGAAGAGCAAGTAAAGTCTTTGACGCAGAATTTTTCTTAAACTGATTTTTAATTTTTTTCATTAGTTTGCTTCAAAACAAGTAAAAATATTTTATTTAACATTTTAATAATGTATGGTTATTAATTACATAAAGAAATCTCTCTTTTTCTATGTTGAAGGTAAAATCCTTTTTTTTTTAAATGTGCGCTTATTTTCATTTATTAAGAATTAAGATCAACAGCTTCTTTGAAATACATTGATAAATTTTTGTAAATGAATAAAAAGCATTTTTTTTTCAAATTTCTTTTTTTGGGATATTACATAATTTAGCACAAATATAATTCCGATAGTCTAACAGATTTATAGGGTGTCCGTAAAATGATTTTAAAAACATTATTTCAATAAAAAAATATACCGTTGCCGGCAGTATTATTAGGAAAGTATTTTGTTTTTAATAAAATAAGTTCAAATAGTTGCCACTAGGCAACATTGACTATTAAAATCTATTTAGCAAAATTGTAAATGTAGCCAACTTTTGTATTTTTAATATGATTGTATATATTTTTGTATGAATGTATTTTTGTATTTTCGCACATACATTTGACAATGTTTTCGTTGAATCTTCTTAACATGCTCATGTTTCTTCTAGCGGTACCATGTGTCGAAATTTAAAATTATTTAAACTCAATGCATTTTTCTCTAAAATGTATTGTTCTAATAACAACAATGCAGCAAATGCCACATTATTTTTTTCTCATATCAGATAGTATTTACAATCTACGTTCAATATGAATCAATCATTTATGAGACATCCTCTATGTTTTGAGAGAAATCAGATTACAATTATTGTATTTTCTAGGAGCTTGAGATATTCGGATGTAGTTTGGCGTCATTGTGTTGTCATTCTCAAGAAATCTGTTCCAATAAGCATAGAAGTGCAAGCATTTGAATGAATGCATTCTTTTTGAGAAATATTTTGGTGTTCGCAACAGAACTTCTAGCGCTGTTTCACTGTTCTTAAGGATATCTTTTATAAACCAAACACCACCTGAAAGAAAGTTTATAGTTATTAGCGACATCTATTTCATATATACTAAATAAATTAAACGACATTTAAAATTTTATTAACCCCTTCATGAGTTGGCAGCTGATACAAGTCGACCAGCTGTCTCTCAGCATTACTATATGATAATAAGTTGAATACTGGGCTGCCAACTTTTGGGAAAATTAATTTTGGTGGTAGCTACGTTGATGATTTAATGTATCATTCCGGTTTCGTAAATTGGATTTACTGTTTTTTTCACACAACTACAAGTAAATGATTTATAAGTTTATCTGAAAAGCTATTTTGTTCCTACATTCTTTTTAGTAAAGCATAAAAATATGACTTGGCAAACTTTAATAATATCTTCAGCAAAAAATTATTATTAAATGAAAATATTACACATAGGCCAGTGGTAGCCTTTTTCATATTGGAAGGCAGGGGTGAAAGCAAGACGGAAAAGAGGAAAGGCTGGTAGTAAAACCATTTCAGTTATTGCTAGTTTTGGGGAGGAGTTTACTTATTCTTTTTTTAAATTTTTCAACAGTATCTACTTTATCTTGGAAAAGAAGCAGTTTTATATATATATGCCAGAATTATAAAAGAAATCTTGATAGTTACAGATATTTCATTTTTTTCGATAAAAATGCTGGAATGAAATGTTTTACGTACCAGGTTTTTCTCTTTTCCGTCTTGCTATATAAGGGCTTTCAGCCATGTTGGAAGGTATACTATCCACAGGGAATAGAACGTTTGCCTTCCATTGAGGTGAACCGGGTTCAAATCCCAGCGATGGCAGGTCGATACGAATTCCACATATATGCATTTTTTCTTTTGATCGCAATGTTAGATACGTAAATAGGCACATATACAAGTTTGTACTTTTTGTATATAAAATCTATATAGCTTTTAAACTATTAGCCTGATAATCTCGTAAATGGTTTCATTAAATGCATCGGAAACAATGCCTGTTTTGAAAAAATTCAATTTTCCCTCTCAAATCACTCCCATTTCCCTCCAAAAAGAGATAAGGGTGTAAAATAGAGTAGGGGACTGGGCTCATACGCAAATGGAAAAAAATTAATATATATTTTTTTTATATTATTATGGTTGTAGCTACTGGTATATTTTATTTTCTCTAAGTAAACTTGTTATAAAATTTCTTTAAGACTTTTCTGTCACATCTTGATTAGTTTTATTTCATACGTACAAGTTCTCTTTGTCTATTTTACGTTTAGGATACATTTTCTATTTATTCTGGGTTTTCGGTTTTATTCCACTGTCCTGAGAACTATAACAACCTCAAGGACCGGAAGAAACACAATCTTGCCATATAATATTTTGGGTTAATTTGAGTAAAAGCATAGATCGAATTTTTATATTAAAAATTGGAAAGTAAACTTTGCCTTATCTTTAACACTAGAACTTGGATTCGATTAAATATTTCCTCACTTTCTAAGTTAAGTTGCGTAAAAGCATAGATCTAATTTTTATATTGAAAATCTGAATGTAAACTTTGCCTCATATTTAACACTGGAACTTGGATTCTATTAATTATTTCCTCATTTTCAATTGTAAATTTTTTAAAAAAATCTGCAAATGAAATTGTATTTGAATAGTCAGTTAGTATTAAGAACGAATTACAAGATAAAATAAAATGTGAGACTTGAAATAGCTGCTCTTAATACGAATAATATTGTAAGATACGATAGCTAGAACGAACATCGAAAGCATTTAGTTAGTATGTGACGTCATAATTTCTCCTCTCCGAAGAAGAAAAAAAGTCCCCAGGAAGAACAAACCTTGCAATTCTTTATAGTGATAATTTTCGATCTTAGCAGATAAGTCTTTCCAGCTCCATTGCATATGGCCGTGTCTTGTAGATGAGTAACCACATTCATGTTGATTAAAAGTACATAGCTCGGATGCATTATCTGAAACTATATTCATAAAGTCAAAACTTATTTTCAATCAAAACTTAGTAAATATGAACAAAAAAATCTGTATATCTAAGCAAATATTTATTATAAAAAATTATATTTACGTATTTAAAAAAATTCTAATAAAAAAATATTTATTCAAACAATTACACACACATACACTATCTACCAATAAGTAATCGGACACCTATGCAAATGACTATAACAGCGGCCCTGATATACATCACGCCCTCCTGATGTGGATTGGGACCCTTGGTCCCCATTCATGGTAAGCTCAATGCCGATGCCTACTGCACTATTTTGGATGACAATGTGCTTCCTACGTTGTGGCAATTTTACGGGATGGACCCCTGTTACTTCTATGACGACAATGCCAGCTGTCATGTTGCGAGGGTCACCAAGGCTTGGTATGGTGCCAATTGGTTTAATCGAATGGACTGGCCGGCACAGAGCCCAGACCTGAACCCTATCGTGAAACTCTGGGACGAGATGGATCGCCGAATTAAGGGGTGTACTACCCGTAAAAAATCAGTGAAGGAACCTACATGCCTTCTCCAAGCCGAGTGGAAGAAAATACCACTAGCCGTCACACAAGGACTTGTGGAAAGTGTGCGACGCTGTAATT